TCAAACCTGAGTCCCTCCAACATTCCATATAATGCGGAAACCACGACAAAACTATACAACAGCTTTTTAAGTCGAATAACAATCGATACCTTTGTGTTGCTGGATTCAGTCGCTTGCCACAAAAGCATCTGTACTGTTTGGGCAACTCAAATGATAAATTCTGACACGACGGACAACGCCATCCCAAATCCGGATCGAAACTTTTCGCAGCCCACTGAGTTATGCAACCGTATGTGTTGGCTCGATTCATGTGAAACATGTGGAAGCATTTCGAACACGTCCATATCCACTGCAACAAATTTTCATTCATCACAATGAATTTGAATAATAAATTCAAAATCTCCATTGTTTCTATGCAAAATTCAACGTATTTCACGTGAAATTTTCAAACAAATTTGCATAGATTCTTCATTTCTCTCTAATTACAAACAACAAAAAAAAATCGCCATTCGAATATTCACGGCGAAATATTTCCACTTGAAATTAAAAACGATATTAACATGCGACAGTACCTGATTTGCCTGGATAGTTTGACAACAGATCATGCATTCGTACGTGTTATCTTCAAGTTGTTTCTTTAGCCGATCTAAACCGTNAGTTGTTTCTTTAGCCGATCTAAACCGTATGCTTATTAGAATTTAACGAACAATATACAATTGAACTGAAATATTTAAAAAAAGAATATTCAAAGCCATTTCATAATCCGTTCTGAACTGGGAGTGATTTCACTGAATCATACCCCTGAGAGTATCCAAGTTCCCGTCATCATCTTTGCGTTCATTCCGTCGTTGAATCTGCTCGTTGCTGACTTGATACATTCCGCTGAATTGATTGTTAGGCTGGTTTGAATGCCCACGACGACGACCTTAATTACTATGAGTATAAAATAGCCAAATGAATGAAAACTTCGCGAAAATGGAACCGTCATTAAATGAGTTCTTCGTTAAGACAACGTATCCTAAATCGACCTAGGAAAGAGAGAGAATCTTCCACGTTATAACCTGGGAAGATTTGCGTTCCGTTTCGACGACCCCTTGAAGGAAGCAACGCTGATGCTGCCGCTGCTGCAGCAGCCATCTGCTGACGATCCGTTTCGTCA